AGTCAGTCAATGTTATACACATCACCATCAAAATTAAGGATCAAAATCATATGGTCATCTCAATAGATGCAAAAAAGCATTTGACAAGATTCAACAAGTGTTTATAATTTTTAAAAACAACAACTCTCACATCCTGGATATAGAGGGAATATATGGTAACACAAAATAAAGCCCATATATGACAAGTCCACAGCTAACATCATGCTTAATGGTCAAAAACTGAAAGCTCTTCCTCTAAGATCAGAAAAAAGACAATGATTCCAACTCTTACCACTTTTACTCAACATAGTATTACAAATCCTAGCCAGAGCATTAGTCAAGAAAAATAAAAGGCATCCAATTTGAAAGTATAACACCACTATTTGCAGATAACATGATAAATAATGAAAACCCTGAAGTCTCCACACACAAAAATTGTTGCAATAAACAAATTGAGCCCAGCCGGGTGTGGCTCAGTGGTTGGGTGTTGACCTAGGATCCAGGCGATCGGGCTTCAATTCCCGGTCAGGGCACGAGCTGCAGGCTCGATCAGTGACTCTCTCATCATTGATGTTTCTATCTCTCTCCCTCCCTCTCCTTTCCTCTCTCTGAAATCAATAAAGATATATTTAAAAATAAATAAATAAATGTGAAAACAAACAAATAAATAATAAATAAATAAAAATAGTGTAAAGTTGCAGGATACAAAATCAATATATAAAAATGTGTTTTTATACTCTAAACAAACTATCAGAAAGAAAAATTAAGAGAATAGCCCCACTTACAATTGCATCAAAAGAATAAAAAAATACCTAGAAATAAATTTAATCAAGTTGAAAGACATATACGTACACTGAAATAATTGAAGAAGACACAAATGAATGGAAAGGTATTCCATTCTCATGGATTGGGAGAATCAGTACTGTAAAAATGTCCACACAACCCAAAGAAATCTACAAATTCAGTGCAATGCCTATCAAAATGCCAATGATATTTTTCAGAGAAATAGAATAAGTAATTCTAAAACTCATATGGAACAATAAAAGACCCCAAATAGCCAAAGCAGTCTTGAGAAAGAACAAAGTTGGAAGCATCATGCCTCCTGATTTCAAACTATAGTACAAAGCTATAGTAATCAAAACAGTATGGTATTTGCATAAAAATAGGCACATTGATCAATTAAACAGAATAGAAAGACCAGAAATAAACCCATGTATATGTGGTCAATTAATTTACAACAAAGCAGCCAACACTGTACAATGGGGAAAAGACAGTCTCTTCAATAAAGGTTTTGGGAAAATTGAACAGCCACATATAAAAGAATGAAACTGGACCACTATCTTACACCACATACATAAATTAACTCAAAACGAATTAAAGACTTGACTATAAGACCTGAAACCATAAAACTCCTAGAAGAAAACACAGGTGGTTTTCCTTGAGATCAGTCTTTGATGATGATTTTTTGGATTTGACACCAAAAGCACAAGCAACAAAAGAAAAACAAGTAGGGCTACATACAACTAAAATTTCTGCACAACAAAGGAAACTATCAACAGTGAAAAGGTCACCTACCAAATAGGAGAAAATATTTGCAAATCATATACCTGATAAGGGGTTAATATACAAAATATATAAAGAATTCATGTAACTCGGTAGCAAAAAAAATCTGATTAAAAAATGGGCAAAGAGTATGAATAGATATTTTTCCCTAGAAGACATTCAGGTGATCAGCAGGTACATGAAATCATGCTCAATCACTAATCATCAGGGATAGCAAATCTATACCACAATGTGATACCACCTCACACCTGTTAGAATGGCTATCATAAAACAGGAAATAATAAGTGTTATCAAGGATGTTGGTGGGAATGTAAATTGGTGCAGTCACTATGGAAAACAGTATGGAGATTTCTTAAAAATTAAAAATAGAAACTACCATATTATGCAACAATTCTACTCCTGGGTATTTATCCAAAGGAAATGAAAACAATAACTCGAAAAGATATTTGCAACTTTCATGTTCACTTCAGCTTTATTTATAGTAGCCAAGACATGAAAGCAACCTAAGAGTTCATTGAAGGATGAATGGATAAAGAAAATGCCATTTATGACAACATGGATGGACCTTGAGGGCATTATGCTAAGTGAAATAGGACAAATACCACATGAGTTCACTTATATGTGGAATTTAAAAAAAAAAAAACAAAACCTAACTCATACAGAGAATGGATTGGTGGTTGCCAGTGGTAGGGGTGAAGGTGGTCAAAAAGTACAAACTTCCCATTATAAAATAAATAAGCCCTGGGTATGTAATGTACGTTATGGTGACTATAATTATATTAAAAGTTGCTAAGTAGATTAAAAATTCACATAAGAAAATATTTTAACTATGTATAGTGAGGGGTTAAGTAGACTTATTGCAGTGATCATTTCACAATACTTACAAATATCAAATTATGTTGTATCCCTAAAACTAATAAAATGTTATATGTCTGATATATTTTAATTACAATTCTAAATTAAAATTTTTAGAAATGTTTTTAAAGACATTGTAACTTTGCCTGTGGGTAGTATTCTTTATAGGTATATGAAAACTACCCAGAAGACAGTGAAAAGATGAGCAAAATGTGATGTTTTTCTTTAAAACAGAAATCTAATTTCTCATGTGACCCCATTGTCCAATTTCCTGGAAACTGCGCCTTATTTTTATTAGTCCCTGGATTAGAAGGCCCATTGCTGGCTCTTTACACAGCAGACAATACCACACTGATTATTTTCTGTCAAGGACAAATAAAGAGGAAATGACCTTTCTCAGAAAGGAGGCATGAAGGTAAGAGAGAACTCCCCAGGTGTGAACTACCCATGAGACACCATGAATGACCTGTGATACCCTACCAGACTGTTGGGACAGGGGCAGAGTCACCTTCACTAGGATTGTATCCATGTGCCAGGGAATGTGCCTGTTGACACCCAGGTCCTTGAAAAAGGTGCTTTGGCTAAGACCTCTACTTCCCCAGCTGCAAACTGCCTATGCTTGAAGTTGCACGAGAAGTCCATGGGTCTATTACTGCACACCTTTAATAACCCATTCAAAGCTTAAACACACAAGTTGAGAAGCTCTGCATACCAGACCCATAGTTAATGTTGGTTGAAAGAATGAGTCAGTCTGTTTATAGAATTAAGAGATATCTGGACTTAAGCACATAAAGATCTTAGAAATCAATGAAAGGAATGGTCAAATAGAAGAGATATAATTAAGACTGAATATGCCCAGCTGGTGTGGCTCAGTGGTTGAGAGTCAACCCATGAACCTGGAGGTCACAGTTCAATTCCGGGTCAGGGCACATGCCCAGGTTGCGAGCTCGATCCCCCTGAAGGGTGTGCAAGAGGCAGCCGATCAATTTTTCTCTCTCATCATCAGTGTTTCTATCTCTTTCTCCTTCTCTCTTCCTCTCTCTGAAATGAAAAATAAATAAATAAGTAGTAACATAAAAAAAAAAAAAAAGACTGAATATGACCCCAGCAGAAGGATAAGAAGTATGTGGATTTCTTAAGCGCTTAGACTCCATTCCCAACTTGACCTTTCATCCCTGCTTTTCATGCCCCTGGACTCTCTAATCAAGCCAAACTGTTTGCTGCCCCCTGCAAGTCCCTTGCTCACCACTCAGCCTCTGTGTTAGCCTCTCTCTCCAACCATGCCATTGCTAGGAGGATAGTTGCCTATATCGAAGACCCACCTGTAGGGCCACTTCCATTGAAGTCTCCTCTGCCCTCACTGAGTGGGTGTGGTCTCTCCCTCTTAGCCCTATTATTGTGCCTGTGATCACATTCTCGTCTGAGTAACTTTTTTTGTTTTCTCTCCTTTCAATGAAATATAAGTTTCATGTGGTCAAAGACCGAGTCCTCCTCATTGTAGTCTCCTCTCCTTTACCTGTAATAGGTACTCAATTAGTGTATATTACATTGAACAAAATTTTCCAAGTGACTGTGGGAAAACCAGGTTCCTGCTGAAGAGGGAGGCAGGGGTGTTTGTGGTCTAGGGAAGGGCTAATATGTCAGCCTGCTGGGTTCCAGGGAATATTCCTTATAGTAAACCACAGTCACACCCTTTTCTTATATCAGGGTTTCATAAATCAGATCCTATACTAAATAGAACCAGACCCACTATCCCCAAATCTATTATTTAATTGAAACTTTGCACTGTAAGGTTGCCCTATGGGCTTGGGCTTTGAGCCAGACCAGAGGAAGTACCTGAGAGAGAGATCCAGGTGGAATGGAGGTCCTCAGTTTCATGCAACAGAAGCAGGTTCCTGCTGAGCTGCAGGGAGAGTGGGAGAATTGGACAGGGGTGAGGCATTAAGGGTGCAACTGCTTGTCTACACCCTATGGGCATCCACACCCTATGGGAAACACAGCTGTGTTTCCTGTGTAGTCTCTGAAAGGCAAAATATGTAGTCAGTGGTTCCTAACAGCAAGTAAATAAATGCTAATCTCCTGATAGCCCCTCACTCATTGAATATTTGCTACCCTGACATGTCCAGCCTTAGGGTATGTCCTGGTGGTCACATGCTGCTGGAGTCAAGTCCCATGTCCATGTAATCTGAGGTTGTTGGTGTTTATCCCATCTTGATTGCTTCCATCCTCTCAGCAGTCACATGCCCAAACAGTGGTGCTGTGGTGGGAGGGAAATAACCTTCAAGCCTTCTTTTTGCATTTAATGGTAAGTCGTATCTCATCTCAGCCAGGCCTTCATTCTTGTGGCTAATCTGTGAGCCCCTTGCATGTGTACATGAAGTGTCATTCACTATTGTGACAAAGAGCTGTATCTCCTTCTAGGTCCTGATTGGTATTACCCCAAGCCCTGCTACCTCTGTCTCTGCTTTAGAGTTTGGAGAATGAAATTGATTGCCACAACATTGCTGGAAGTTTCCAATTATAAGAAAGTGTGTGTCATGATGTATTTAACAATAAATCTCCTTCTCAGGTGACTAGTGGGATATGCCCTCTTCCCCCTACAGGCACAAAGGGTGAGCAGGAAGTTTCCTAAACCCAGCAGAGCTGAGCACTCCTCGGAGCAGAAACCTCATTCTACGCCTTCCCCGAGCTGTACCACACCGAGCTGTACACCTGGCAGCGGCCAGCAGCACCTGCTGGACAGTCCACACCTGGGGCCCAGCCAGATGGCCCTGCCTGCTGGGCATCAGCAGGAATTTGCCAGACGAGTCAGCAGCGCCCCCAGCCTTCCCTGGTCTTTCCAGAGAAGCAAGTCCTTGTTTTGCTTGCCCACAGAAGACCCTTCCCCAGCCTCCTCAGCTGTACCACAGTGTTTTCCAAACACAGGTGCCCCAGAGCACTGGGCATCAGAGTGGAGACATGGCCACCTCCTCTCCATTGATGACTTAGAGGGGTCCCAGGAGACAGATGTGGACACAGGCCTGCGGCTGTCCTCCTCTGACCTGTCTGTGGTCTCCGCGTATTCTGCACCCAGTAGATTCTTTAGCACCTTGGAAACACCTTTCCCCTCCGAAAGATGTGGCAGCCACTGCTCCAAGCACAAAGGTTCTAGAGAAGGACAGCTACCCACTGGGAGCGGGGCAACCATGGGGACCTCCTGGGCTTCCCTCCCTCTCTTCACCAAAGGGCCTTCCAATTCCTTGGTGACAGCAGTTGCTGCTCCCCCAGCTTCTAGTGCCGCCTCCCTCACAGAGTCATCCTTCAAGCTCCCTGGTGATGCTCCCAACACAGAGCAGACTGGCAGAGATACCGCACCACCCCCAGCATTGGCTGGACCCGGGGACAGTGACACAGAGGAATTCTATATCTGAACACCCTTTTCTCTGTTTTTTTAGACACACAGGTTCAGCCTCCTTAGGTCTGTCTGAAACCTAATTATCTGTTTCACAGGTTCGTTGGCACGTTTGCCATGCCACCCATTCTAGGGACTAGGTGGGAAAATACTGGCATTTTTATGCAAATAAATTCTCAACAAACAAGTCATAAAATATATTTTTTGAATACTCAATCCCATTTGAGATATGGTTTAGTATGTTTACAAAATTTAAATGCTTCATACAATTATTTGAAATGAAAAAGGAAGCTTAGTCAGCCAGAGCTGATTTGGCCACTTTTCATGCTGTAAAGGAAGAACATTTAAAGCCAAAATGTTGACTGCGGGAAAGATACTATGTGACTTGTATGAGAAATTAGTGCTCAATAACATAATGTACAATCCTGGTTTTTGCAGATTTATATTACCAGGGAACAGTGATCCCAAGAAAGTCCAAGTACTACATACAGTGGAAAAAGTCAGCTTGATATGTTAATAAATCAGGCTACAGTCATACCACACTTTGATGCCTAGCAACATCTGAAAATCTGGATTTACACTAAAGTGGCTAATATGCTTTATAAGGATTTAGCATGAGTAGCAGACTCTTGGTGCATTTAAAATATTATTTCAGCTCCAAAAACTAGATTTGTATTCACCTTTCAACAACACATTCACTGAAACAAGTGAGGGATACAGAGGACTACTCCCACCTGTATTTATTTGGATCACTGAGGAGGAATCATTCACTGGAGTTACAGAATAATAGGATTTAGACATAGTGGGTAGGTAGTCTTAGGATTCTTCAATTTTAAAAACCATGACCTGAGGGCTGTGTATATATATAAATGACAGGAGCCACATTTTATACTGCTTTCTCCAGCAAATATGCATTGTCAGCTTGTCTTTTTCATTTTTAAGTAATTTGTAACGTTTTAACTAGCATCTCCGTTGCACACTGGGAAGCTTTACACTAAATGCTCCCCTAAACAAACACTGTTGCCTTGCATGAGTGCACAGGCGCCTTAATCGAAGCTGGAGCTTTCACCCTACCTTGGCCCTTCCTGCCTGTTACCTGCTTCAGTCATAGTGTGAATGGTATTTAAATCTCACCTCTCTCCCACCTCAGTAGGGGTACATTTACAGTTCCCACCTCAGGAATGCCAAGTGCAAGCATCAGGGATAATGCTGAGCTGTCCCTGGTTGCTGTTTACCTTTGGGGAAGAAGAGCATGTATTTGCCTTGCTCGTTTCCCAATCTGGTGCTCCTTGCCTGTATTACAGCCCATTTTCACATCTCTGGAAGTGCCCATACCGTCCAGACACAGCCTTGGCACCCTTCTCCACCCAGCCCTCCAGGCAGCTGCTACCAATCATCAGACTTGCTCTGGACCCTCGATCTTTGCCATCCCTGTCAATGAAAGCCTTAGATCTTCCCCCAACATCCTGGGTATTCCAGGACTCCGATATACAATATTCTGTTCCAGTTTAAGTAAATAAAAATATGGTCTCCTATAATTCAGGACCAGGAATGAACAAACTTTTTTCTGGAAAGGGCTAGATAATATCTTAAGCTTTGCTAGCCAAATGGTCTCTATCCTAACTACTCAATTCTGCCATTATAACATGAAAGCAGCCATAGACAATATGTAAATGAGTGGGAGTGGTTGGGTTCCAATAAAACTTTATTTACAAGAACAGGTGGTAGAGGGCCAGATTTGGCTGGAGTTGTAGTTTGCCAGTCCTTGTGCTAGACTGAGGTTGATTTTGACCCCAGCCACAGTCAACAACAGTAATCTAGGTCTGCAGCCCTCTGCTGCTATGGTGCATGAGGCCAAGAAAGTGGGCTCCTCCAGTCATGCCAATGACTGCAGAACCACAGGGGACAGAGCAGTGAGGAGCTTCTTTCTGCAGAGATGATTCCTAGAAAGCCACTAGCTGTCCACCTCCTGCCCAGCAGCTGGTGATAAAGAGCAACAGGCTAACATTAGGAAGGAGGAGAAAAATAACTTAGAGGTGCTGACTCAGCCTCCAAGGAACGGGTGGCCAGCTTAGGAGTAGCAAAAATCAATGAGACATAAGTGAATGGACCAACTGCCAAGTGATGGCTCCTCTTGTCTTCATCCTTAATTAGTACCCTTAGTTTAGTGGACTCACATGCATCCCTAGAATTGCCTTAGAGCCCAACCCTGATGCTCTTTGGCCCCACCCTTCAGTGACCCACTGTCAACACAGTGCATTCAACCAAACTGACCCCAAAGGATGTCAGCAGCACCATTCAAAAGCAGAAAATGCAAGGTGCCCCCATAACACAGAGAGAAGGAAAGGGAAGCCCACCACAGACCACATTCAGGCCCTCCCCCCCAGTGCCATGGTTGGAATTGGCAGTTACTGTGTGGAGAAGGAGACACGGGGACACTACTGACAGAGCCCTAGTTTCCATTTCTGGTGATACACTAGCCTTTCCTCATCCAGGGGGCTCCTTACACACTGGTGGATCTGACTCTTGGATTATTATTGGTGTGATAGACTCTGGCATACTGTAGGTGCTCAATAAATTTGTTCAATTTAATAACATTGAGATTGCCTCATAAATTATTTCTCTCCTGGATTAGGCTCTGTGATATAGGAAATCTAGATTCGATTCCTAATTTTTTGTCATTTACTGGAACCCAGTTTCTTCTCCTTGGCACTTTCCCCAGCTTACCCCAGAGGGCCGTGTTAGTAAAAGCCTAATTCACAGCCCATCCCTTATTTGCATCTGTTCCAAATAAAACCCCCCAAAATTACTGCTCACAGCCCCACCATGGCCTGCCCTGAACACCACGTTGTATCTGCTTTAAAGATGAAACGTTTCTCAGGGTGGTCACTAACTGACCTGCCAAGCCCTACAGAACTCATTTTGGGTCACTCCAATAGGGTCATCCATGGAGATATGGTGGGGAGCCACCAAAAAGGCTTTTGTGAATGTGGGAGGACTGATGTATGGATATACTAAACAGGCTGTAGTGCTGGATGCTTCTTGAGCCCAGGGACCCAATGGCAGAGGAGCAGTCACATGGGAGTCTATTAGACTATGTAGTGCATTCCAGATGAGAACAAATGTTTACCTTTATCAGGAAACATTTGAGTTCATAGCTGATGTCTTCAGTGCCAAGTAAATCAGAAGAAATGTAGTTATCTTCCTATCCCCCTACTGGGGTTTCTGTAGATGAACGAATTCTCCAATCCATCAGGTAAGAGGTGCCTGAGTAGACTCAGAATTCCTGGAAGAGATTCTTAAAGTCAAATTAACTGGAGAGTTTCTCCCTCCCAAACCCACAGAACAATATCAATGACCAGTTCTGACCAATAATCCCAGGACTGAATTTCAGGAGAGCAGTGGGACTAGCTGAATAGTCACCTTCCAATTATCTGACCAGGGCCACCTTGCTCCCTGTGTCTGATTTGAACTAAATGCCTCCTTCTGATTTGTAGGGTTCCACTTCTCTTTAATCCCCTGGAAATACAATTGATGAGATACTGCAGAGGCTTGAGAAATCAATAGGAATAAAATAGATTCTCAAAGGAAATACCTTTTGTCACAATTGTAATAAATCAATTCATGAGGGGTCAAGAACTTGAGTATAAAGATCTTTATATAATTAGATTCTTCCAACTTCTGAAGGCTTTTTTCTACTCTTGGGCATAGAGGCCTAACTACAAATGACTCTAAATGACATAACTTACCCAAGTGGATAACGGAGGCAGAAATGAATGGTAATGTCAGCACAGTTGGGTCTTTTGAACAGTCAGTTTCTATTTTAAAAGTGTGATAACTATTGTCCAGTTGTGTGGCCACTATTAGGAGCAACATATTCATTTCAGACAGAAGTCACCAGAACATTTGGTGAAGCTGAAAAGGCCCCTTCCTCATGTCCTTATGACACCCTCTCTAAACTTTCCATTTGTAATGAGGGTCCCACCTCCAGTTGCCTCAGATGGTGTAGAAAAAAACAGAGCTGCTTCTGAGAGTGTGGCACAGCCCCAACTGGCTGGCCTGATCTGGTTGGGGGTTGCCCCACCTCATTTTAAAAATTGATCTTATAAGTTGAGCATGTGAAAGAAGACAGCTAGACTCCCTTAGGTCAGGTTTGCCCAGTCCCTGGTGCATTTTGTACAGGAACTACTCAGAATGTGTGTGGCACAGCTCAAGAAACTGAACAGGAACACTTTCAGGCCAAATTGCCTCGCTGAAGAGGGCTGTGGGAAAGCTTTGGTGCCACCTGGTGGCCACCATGCCCAGGAGGGTCAGTAACTGCCCTTTACATTGAAGACTGCACCTGAGTGAACAGGAGGGAGGCACTTCACTTCTGTTCATTATTCTGCATCTAACTATTTCTACAAGGTGTTGAGGCAGCTGAAATTGCAATGACGTAAGACAATACAAATATATATAGGAAATCAGGGCTAAGAAAAAAGTTTATAAATATGCCAACCATAAAGAAAAACGTAACTGCTACAGATGAATTTCCTAGAAGCCAAAGCAAAAAGGGAAATATGAGTAGCTCAGTAGATTTCACTTGTGATTAGAGAATCTAGCAACATCTTATTTCATTGTAACTGAAGTTGCCTCAGTGCCCTTTCTCAATGGAAACCAAATTTTTCTTAGCACAGATTTCTAAAACCACTTTCTCAGAAGGGGATTTTCCTAAAGGATTTTCTCTAATTTAGTCCAAGTCCGTACCTTTCTTGATTGAAGGATGAATTTACAAGACCTGGAGGAGTGGACACAGCTGTGCACTTTGGACAAGCTGCACTGGACATCTCCGGCAACACTGTTGGTAGAGGGAAGTTTCACCCTCATCAGAAAGCCTGGAGGCTGGCTGCTTCTGGTCTCTGAGGCCAAATCTGTACAGTCTGGCAAGTGGAAAACAGGTAGTAAGGCTGACATCCTACTGGGGAACTAGAAGCTCCTATGGAAAGTCTGCATCTATTGGCGCTCTGTCCGCAGCAGCATCCACTCTCTGCTATGGATGTCAACTCCAGCTCCCTAACCTCCCACAGGTAAGAGGTTTCAGGCACTTTGAAGCTCTTCCAAATCCCCACCTCCCACCTTTTACTGACATTCTTGATAAATTAGAAGGACTTTGTGTCCCTGTACCTTTTTCTTTATTGCTCTGAGTATATATGCTTATTATCATTCATTCAACAAGCATATTCTGAGTCCTACTATGTGTCAGGCAGTGGGTGAGGTGCTGAGGACCTAGGATTGAATGGGAGAGACAATCCCTCCCTCTGGAACTAAGCTTCTATAACCATCATTGCTGTTTACCACTTACCTATAGGTTTTATAATCCTCCTGATGGATTTGAATTAACCTCTGCTACAGTTACATATGGAGTCTCAGCTTTTGGTATCAAATAGATCTGGCTTCCAATTCTGACACCATTCACTATGTGAACCTAGGGTAAGTTATTTCACTTTTCTGAGCCTCTGTTTTATCATGTGTAAAACATGGACAACATTCAAAGGTTATTACAAAAATTGAATTACATAATTTGTGCAAAAGTTCCTATACTGCCTGCAACATAGCAGGTATTTAATAAAGGTTGATGTTTTTGTTCCCTTGGGCTATGGGATGGCTGCATGCTCTGCCCAGCAGGTTCTAGTCTCCTTCACAGACTCCCTGTGCCAGGTAGAGCAGACAAGGTTTGAATTCATAGTGCTCTTTACAATTAGCTGTTCTACCACCACCTCTCAACCGTCTGTCTGGACAGGATTCCACGCAATAGGAAATCATCTTTCCAACATCACACCCTGGGTTTTTTCTTTCCTCCATTCAAGCTACCACCAGCAAAGCCAGACTTGGGTGCTTGTGACCACTCAGTGCTGCTCCTTCTCCAGCTCTGAGCTGCCCTTCCCTAAGCGCTCCCTGGTCCCACCAACCCCTCAGGCCTAGGAGACCTGCTCTGCCTTCTCTCAGCCATCTCCCTGTCTACCTACTCCCTGCACCGTCTCCTCTGGCTTCCAGATCTGCTTGCCCCACCTGGAGCCCAGGCTGACCTGTCTCTGTAGCATCTGCACCTCTTTCCCTCTGACCTTCTGTGGCCTCCTCACCAGGCCCCAAGC